AGGTTCAGAGACAGGCAGAGAGGCTTTGTCAAAAAAGGAAAGGGAGGGAGGGGGGAGAGGGAGGGAGGGAGGGAATAGAAAGAAAAAGAAAAAGATAGGTAGAGGAAGGAAGGAAGGAAGGAAGGAAGGAAGGAAAGAAAGAAAGAAAAAGAAAAAGTGGGGGCTGGAGAGATGGTTCAGTAGCAGCTTAACTCTCCATAACTCCAGTTCCAAAGGACCTGATGTTCTCTTCTGGCCTTCATGGGCACTTGCATACATGTGATGCCCTGACATACATGCAGGTAAGCACTCATACACATAAAATAAAAATCGATCAATCAAAAAAAAAAAAGAAAAAACCTGAAGATGGAGAAGCAATTGAGGTTGACACTTGATGTGCATCTCTGGGTCTCACATACAAGCAGCCTCACACACACATGTACATACACTTTTATTAAGCACTTTCCAATAATGTCCTTAAACCCTCATCACTATTTCATTGGTAAAGCTTCCTCCCTCCCTCCCTCCCTCCCTCTCTCCCCTTTTTATTTTATGTGTGTGAGTGTTATGCCTGGTAAGTGCACCCATGTTGTGCAGTGCCTGTAGAGAACAGAAGAGGGAAGTGGAGTTATGGTTTCTGTGTGGTTTCTGTGATTCGAACCCGAGTCTTCTGTAAGAACAGTCAGTGCTCCTAACCACTAAGCCATCTCTCCAGCCCCATAAAATTTTCATTCTCCCTCTCCCTCCCCCTTCCTCTCCTTCTCCCTCTCCATTACTTATTAAGCACTTTCTGTATGTCCAATAATGCCCTTAAGCTCTCATCACTATTTCATGGGTAAGATTTTGCTGGTGTCTATCTGAAGCTGACAGAGGCCAGGTGAGTCACCTGAAGGTAGCTGGCCAGCCACTGCCGGTACACTGGGTATTGTGGGTTTGTCACTACTGAAATCCCCAAGCATTCAACACAGAGCTATGCACTTCACATGCATTCAGTACATTTTTGTCAGATGAGTGATCCTTAACCCAAATGCTCTTGCTGCCTTGGTATCCTTCGAGGGCATGGTGAACTCACATGGCAAGTTTCACCAAATACCCTGCAATCATCAAGTCGTGTTTTCTAAGCACCACCATCAGCAGCATTATAACCTGGTTTCTGCAGAGCAGCTACCAATCACTCAGCAGAGTTGTCATTCCCTTTCAGAAAAATCCTAAGCTTTTTAAAGCAAGGCTGGTAACTGGATATGGAAATACTGAAGTGGAAAATATTCTTTCTGTTCAGATGTTATCGTTTGGCAAGACTGCTGTTTGGTGACGACTGAAAAGGCCAGCATCCATTCAGGCACTTGTGACCTAAGAGTAGGTGGAGACAGTCAATTCTTTGTGGCTACAGTGGCTTACGACCAGACTTGGGACCATTGCCCTCTCTGTCCCCTGGGATGTGACCAGAGAGTGGCTCTTGCTTTGGATTATGTTCCTGTACTCAGGACAGCGTGTTTCTGGATAGGCTGCTGGCAAGCAAGTAGGGGCTCTGTGTGCTCTTGAGGCCCTGGTAGGCACAGGGGACAGCTCTGTAGTCTGTGCAGGTGGATGCCACATGACAGCTCTCTGAGTTCAGGGTAGCTAGGCTTCAGGATTGGTGACCCAGGGAGGGCCCCAGTCTTTGCTGCTGGAGAACCCATTCCCTGTGAGGTTTTCTGGGCTCAGAAGGCTGAGCACAAAGCTGGCCCATGGGAACTAATTGACTTTATCCAACTGGTGGGACCCTGAGTGAACAGCCTTAATCATGGTGAGACTGCTCATACCAGATCTTTCCTCAGATGTCGTCCTTGCCCTCTACCTTATTTGAGACAGGATCTCTTGTTCACCAATGCACATACCAGGCTGGCTGGCCCGCAAACTTCCAGGGATTCTCCTGTTTCCACTTCCCATTGCCCTGAAGGAGCACTGGGATTATAGCCTGCATGCTACTGAGTCTACCTATAATATGAGCTCTGGAGATCTGAACTCAGGTCATCATGCTTACATAGTAAGTGCTTTTGCCCACTTATCCATCATAGGAGTGAACTTCTGATGAGTGGGCCTGTTGCCTTGCACACAGGCACAGGTGTACCTTAGTGGTCTATTTTTTTGTTCGGTACTATTGGCACTGAAATCATTGATGATGTTAATCATGAAAAAGAAGCTAAAGTCAAACTAAAAGACAGAGGAAAGAGAAACAAGAACAATCAAGAATCCAAAGAAAGGAAAAAAGAAGAAGTGGTTGAGGGAGGGAAAAAAAAAACCAAATAGGTAGAGAATCTTCTAAATGCCTCACTAACTAGGATAAATGTAATGGACCACATGTTCTGTTTTCAGTGAGGAAGACTGTTGGATTAACAAATATTTTAACAAGAAACTATTTATAAGACACTTAAACCAGAGAAGAGAAAGAATGAGATACACCTGACCAAAAGAGCTGGATTCTAGCTAACAGAAAACCAGTCTGACTATATTATTATCATATTACTTTATTGTTATCAAGGCTTTTAGACCTCAAGGGAGCCCTTTCATGGAGATACAAAGTTCAAATTACTGTAAGCCATGACAAGTTTAATTTGTATTTCCCATACAAGGCATCCCATACAAGTGTGATGGAAAGCCACTAGAATTTTAAGGAAAAAGAAAGAATACATAGTAAGAGTTGAAGACTTTATGTGTGTGGTGTTTGCACATGTGTATACATGTAAGTGCTGGTTGTATGCACCTGTGTATGCAAGCCAGAAGAGGATGTCAAGTACTCTCTTCTACTGTTGTATACCTTATTTCCAGAGATTCTGTTGGTCTCTCACTGAACCTGGAGCTCACTGTTTTTCGTCTAGGCTGGTAGCTTATGAGTCCCGTTGATCCTCTGGTTTCTATCCCCAGCAGTGAATGGTGGCTACGTCTGGATTTTTATAGGGATGCTGGGGATCTGAACTCAGGTTTTCATGCTTGCACAGCAAGGCTCTTACCAATGAGCCATCTCCTTATGCCTGGGGTGGGAGATTTTAACATTCCTTTTCTCATAGTTGATAGAAAAGCGACACAACCCCTGCCCCCAAATCAGAAGGGTGTAGATGTGGACAATGTCATAACTTGAACCAAAAGCCCGTTATAAAACACAGTATGAAATAATGTCAGAAGACTGGCTTCTTATATGTGTGAGCAAGATTTTAGACACAAAATCCTGATCCGGAACTGAAAATGGCTGTAGCAGACCCAAAGCCAACATGTAACACAGGTGAAAACTTCTTTGCTGCTATAACCAAGTCATAGGGAACTAGGGGTCACACTATGATATAATCCAACTAAAGCTTATTTGTCAAGCTTATCAATTAACTTTCCTAAAGAATTAACCACCTCTGTGAAAGAGAGAAATATCTGAACCACATTTAGGAGTTAAAGCAAAAATGTACAATGATTACTGCACTCATTTATTTATTTATTTTTGGTCTTTTTGAGACAGGGTCTCCCTGTAGCCCCAGCTGTCCTGGAACTCACTATGTGGACCAGGCTGGCCTTGAACTCACAGAGATCGCCTGCCTCTGCATCCCAAGTGCTAGGATTAAAGGTGTGCGCCACCACTCCCGGCCTTACTGCACTCTATTTTAGCAGAAGAAATTGCTAATTGAGTGAACTGAGGGTTCATTCTAGGGTACTCCCACTTCACTGTGCACAGCCAAGGAAGTTTAATGCTTTGAAAACTGAGATGATGCAAAGAAATCAATTAAAACCTAGCAAATTCAATTATGTTCTTACCATTCACTGTTTTGGAAAATAACAATTATGTGCTAAAAATAGACTTTAAAAATTATTCTGTAGAGTGGAAAAGATGCTTATTCAAAAGTTTCACATAGAAACTTTCACAAAGTCTGGCATGGAGGTGCACACCTTTAATCCCAGCACTCAGGAGGCAGAGGCAGGTAGATCTCTGTGAGACTGAGGTCAGAAATTGTATGAGTGTTTTGCCTGCATATATATAAGTACATCACAAGTGTACAATGCCCACGGAGGCCAGAAGAGAGTGTTGGATCCCCTGGAACTGAAGGTACAGATAGTTGTTGGCTGTCATGTGGGTGCTAGAAACCAAACTCAGGGCCTTTGTGAAAGCAGCAAGAGCTCCTAACTGCTGAGCCATCTCTCCGGCCCCTCTCTTAATTAGATCTCTTAATGATTTAATTCTTTAACAATATAAATGCATACATTACTTTCAAAATTTGAAAGAGGGGCTGCAGGGATGGCTCCATGGATAAAGTGCTTGCTGTCCAAGTGTAGGGACCAGAGTTCAGTTTCTAGAACCCACATAAATGCCTAGGTACAACAGCCTGTGGAAATTCCAGTCTTGGAAGGTGGAGATGGGATCCTTGAACAAGCTGGCTTGCTAAACTAGCTGTACGGATGAGTTCCAGATTCAACAAGAGACCTTGCCTCAATGAATATGATTTTTGAGAGTGACTGAGGAAGATGACCCATATCAACTCAGGCCTCCACATGCATGGACACACATTTGCACATGCAGCCATATACATGTGTCCACACACATGCATGTGAACATGTCTATGTCTACCCTACACACACATAAGCAAAAAATAATAATCTGAACAAGTGGGATATTCTATTGATAAAGGGTTCTCTTAAGCTCTCTCAATGGGGAAAATCCTGTTTCTCAAAATGCCTGGTTGAAGTGATGACTTCCAGCTCTCAGGAAGGGCATGATGCATGATGCATGGCTTACCCATGCACGTGTTACAGAGCATTTTTGTGTAACATTTTCGTGTTACTGCCTGGGCCTTCTTCCTGTCATATGTACAGTATGGACAAATATTAGAACCTAATTTAGAGGGTGATGACAGGAACTCACTCAGCTTAGGGCCAGGATATAAAGAATGCTATATAGGTGCCAAAGATAAAGTTCATCCAATAGGTAGGCCACAGTAAAGCAGTCCCAAATATAAGAAATAATGCTTCCAACACTTCAACTTGAATCTCTGTGAAAAACTCACCAAGTCGCAGAACTCGAACACCAGAAGGTAAGGGATTGCTTCTACGCACTGTCCAACACACTGGAGAATATTCGGATGCTGAAGTATACTGGAAAAAACAAGTCCCAGTAGCACTGTTCATCAAGAAATATGGCAGCAATTTAATTTTAACATTCATGATGATTTCAATACAGCATGATAAACTCAAAAAATCATGTTAAGATTATGCTTCACAGATGTAAGACTAAGTGAGCTAATGATTATATCACTCATAGCCCATCAAGTATTTTCACAAATAAAGAACTCCTAATATAACAATCTTTATTTTTAGTAATTTTAGAAATAAGTATTGAGGCAAATTTAAAGACACATCTTTGGCCAGGCGTAGTAGTGCAGAGGCAATCCTTTAATCCCTGCAGAGGCAGATGAATCACAGATGTAAGACTAAGTGAGCTAATGATTATATCACTCATAGCCCATCAAGTATTTTCACAAATAAAGAACTCCTAATATAACAATCTTTATTTTTAGTAATTTTAGAAATAAGTATTGAGGCAAATTTAAAGACACATCTTTGGCCAGGCGTAGTAGTGCAGAGGCAATCCTTTAATCCCTGCAGAGGCAGATGAACTCTGTGAGTTCAGGGTCAGCCTGGTCTACATAGTGAGTTCCAGGCCAGCTGGGGCTACAGGGAGACCCTGTCTCAAAAAAGACATTAAAAAAAAAAAAAAAAAAAAAAAAAAAAAAAAGACAAATCTTATCAAAAGAAGGCAAATAAATTACAAAATCAACAAGTATTTCTAATGCAGATGTTTGGCTGGGACCATAGCTCACTAGAGAGTGCTTGCTTCATATGTAAGATGCCCTAAGTTCAAGATCCACTAATGACAGAGAAAAAGAAGAAAGAAAGAAGGAAAGGAAATCTAATCCAGATGTCAAATAACGCCACCTTTCCTTATTCTCAGTCATGCTAGGCCCTTTGTTTTCCATATAAACTTTATAATCTTTTTGCCCCTTCTATTTTGAAGAAATAAACTTATGTATCATCCTTATGCACAGGGCCATGCCAACCTTCTCTGTGCCTTTCCAATTTTATTTTTATACACTGCTGGTGAGAATACTGTAAGAATCACACTAGGACTTTGATAAGAAATGAAGTTATATGTATATCATTCGGGAAGGATCACAAGTTCACATCAACTGAGCCTTCCAATCTATCAACACAGTATGCTCCTCCATTTATTAAGATTTTTAAAGAAATTTACTTCCTATTTACTTTTCATTTTATTATTTTTAAAACCGTATTGATTCAGGAATTTCATACAATGTATTCTGATCATATTCAGATTCCCCCCCACCTTCATGTCCTTTATTAGCAATTAAAAACCCATCCACCTTATACAACACATCTGAACTAGAATGCCAGTGATCTGTAATTCTCTCTTTTTTTTTTTTTTTTTTTGGTCTTTTTGAGTCAGGGTCTCCCTGTAGCCCTAGGTGGCCTTGAACTCACAGAGATCCACCTGCCTCTGCCTAGGAGTAAAGGCATGTACCACCACACCCAGCCTGTGATCTGTAATTCTTACACTCAGATGGTCCAAAGTAAGGTCCCACTCCCTTTCCTCTGTATGTGGTTTGGGGTCAGAATACACTCAGGTTTCTTGGAATGGAATTTTCACACCTGTTCTGTTTCTCCTACACATGCCTAGGACTGTCAGGTAGGGATCTCTCCTCCTAAGCAATCAGAAATGCTTGGGTTTCCTCCTCAAAGTCAGTTATTTGCAGCCCAAGTGCATGCAGGTTACACTTTTAGCCGTTTCAGGACCTCACTCGGCATAATCAGTCCACTGCGGTCCACGGTGTTCTCCAACAGGTTGACTCCCCACAGGGCTTTACTGTGGGTAGAAACAGATGCTAGGTCCTCACAGCAGGCAGCAGTTAGCTCATAGGCCTCCACCCCAAGATTCTCCAGTGGCAGTTGCACAGCAGCTTTACCCCTAGTGTCCTCTAGCTTATTTTCTGAGATCTGCAGACTTCTTGGGTCCCTACTGCTGCTGAGAGCTGCCAGCCAGGCCCTGACAGCCACTAGAGTGATGAGACATTTTCTCAAATCAGAGTGGTGTTTTGCTGAGAGCCACTACCACTGCCATCTTGGTTCCTCAGCCACTCTCCCTCTCAATTGCCAAGTCCCATCTCCACTGCACTCAGCTTGCCACCTGGGTGATGATGGCCAGGCAGACCATGGGCGTGCTGTGCAGTGGTCACTTGGAGGCCCAGCCCCCAGCAAGAGAGGTTGACCCATGGCATGGCAGGGTGGTCTTAACCAGATGGGGTGGTTGCAACCAGCCAGGGCAGTTTGGGCTGGCACAGCCTTATTTAGATCTTTCATTATGCTGCAGTTTTCCACACATAAGTCCTGTATATATACTCAAGTATTTTTTAATTTTTGAACAAATAAAAACACTACTGTATTTTAAATTTTGGTCTTCAAGTGTTCTTTACCACTTTATAGAGATAAAATTGACTTAAGCTTCCATTGTGTAACCATGAACACACTCTGGACTCTGATTTAAAATTTATTTTTTTGTGTGCTGAGCACGATGGTGCATACCTTTAATCCTAGCACTTAACAGGCAGAGTGCTGCTATGAGGCATTTCTAGGGGTGGATCTCTGTGAGTTTGAGGCCAGCCTGGTCTATATAGTGAATTCCAGGTCAGCCAGTGCTACATGATGAGACTCAGTCTCAAAAAAGAAAAAAAGGAGAGGGACGGGGCCAGAGAAATGCCTTCATGGTTAAGAGCACCGAGTGATCTTCCAGAGGATCCAGGTTCAATTCCCAGCACTCACATGACAGCTAACCACCATCCTTAATTCCAGTTCTGGGGGATCCAACGCCCTCTTCTGGCCTCTGTGGGTACCAGGCATGCATGCAGAGCACTTATATACATGTGGGGAAAACAATCACATAAATATAAATAATTAAAATATATTTTTTAAAAACAGCCTACAGAAACCCAGCTATAGTGTGCATGTGTACAGTGGTGAGGATCAGGCTCAAAGCGTGTCAGGCAAGAAGCACCACTGAGCGACATTCCTCGCCCCAGGTGACTTCTGCACGTGGATCTGGTGTCTTGCAACCTTGCTGGACTTGTACATTTGTTCTAAGATATTCTTTTTCATCAACTCCTTGGGATTTTCTATATAAGCCATCAGGTTGTCTCTGAATAAATATTTTCTTTCCTTTCGGATCTATATGCTGAATTTCCTTTTCTTGCTTGACGTGTTTTCTAGAACTTCTGATGCTGTGTTAAACAGCAGCAGTGAAAGCAAGCATCCATGTGCTGTCCCCATCACAGGGGTAAAAGGCATCCAGCTTCCCACCACCCAATATGACGCTGGCTCCAGGGCTTTTCTCAGATTCATCAGCTTGAGGAGACCCAGCCAGACCCTCATGCTCTCTCTCCTTTCCTGCTGTTCTGAGGTTCCTTCTCTCACCATTTCTATTGCATTTAGAAAGTTTTCTTCGTCTTTCTTACAGGGTAAGTTGCTGATAAGAAGCTCTCTTAGTTTTCCTTCACCTGAGAATGCCTTGCTGCCCCCCTCCCATCATGAACGACATTTTCTCTGGCTATAGAATCTCACAGTTGTTTTGTTGTGGTAGTAGTTTTATTAATCACTTGAAACATCCAGTTTTATTTCCTCCTGGATGGTTACTCCACCAGTACCCAGAGAACTTTCTCCCTCCTTGCCTTCATGAGTTTTTGATTGTCGTTAGCTATTAGAAGTTGGGCTTTATCCTGTTTTGAACTTTCTCAATTTCTTGATTTGTCTTTTCCAAATCTCTGAATTTCCCCCTCATTATTTCTTTTAATACTTTTTCAGCACTATCCTCCATCTGCTAGGTAGGATACCTGGGACAATGTCACATTTTGTGTTACAGTCCAATGTCCATGTGGCTTAACCCACCTCCCACCTCTGATAGGGTCATTATGTAGCCCTGGTTGGCTTAAACTGGCCTAGATCCACCTGCCTCTGCCTCTTCCTCTTCCTCCCCAGTGCTGGGATTAAAGGCATTGTACCACCAAGCCTGGCTCTGTTTTACTCTTGGAATGAGTAAGCAATTTTCAATTGAAATAGGGACACTTTGGGTTTTACGAGCCTCTGGTTTTCTGAGAGAAGTCTCAAAGCAGTTTTAAATATTTAACCTTCAGAAGCACAGACCATGTCTTCAGGACACATCAAAGCTTACTTACTAGTAAGGCTCTCCATTTTTCAAGAAACCATCTTGTTCCTTCGGGCTCGCGCTGGCTTTTAACTCCTTCACTATGACTCTGGCTACGCTGCTGCCTGTGTAAATCTCTCCCAGGAGGACCTAAAACCAAAGAACAGTTTTCAGTCACTTTCATCAAACTGATAAAAAAGTACACCTCAAGTAACCACCAAGCCACTGTCACTCCACAAACTAATTGACACAGCTTAGAAAATGCAAACCCTTAGCTTGGAATGGTGGCGCATGTTTGTAACCCCAGCAGTGGGGAGGATGGAACAGGACAGAGAGGTCATAAGGGACTAGCCTAGCCTATACAGAGAGACCTTGTTGACAAAAGAACAAAACAGGAAGGGGGGGGGAGAATGAAGGAAAAGGCAAAGGAAAGGAAAAAGAGAAAGAAGACAGGAGAGAGAAAAGGGGGAAAGGAAGAACAAACATGAGTTTCTGATTGTCGTTAGCTATTAGAAGTTGGGCTTTATTCTGTTTTGAGCTTGCTCAATTTCTTGATTTGTCTTTTCCAAATCTCTGAATTTCTCCCTCATTATTTCTTTTAATACTTTTTCAGCACCATCCCCTTTACTTTTTCAGTAAAGGGGCCATTTTAAACTATTCATCAGATATTTAAACATTCATGTGTTATATATATTTATTTTCTATTTATTTGAAAATGTATTTCTCAGGGGGCTGGAGAGATGACCTGTGGTTAAGAGCACTGATTACTCTTGCAGAGACCCTGATTTCAGTTCCCAGCACCCACATCAGATGGCTCACAACCACCTGTAACTCCAGTTCCAGGGGTCCTCTTCTGGCCTCCAAGGGCACCCATACGCATATGGCATACAGTCACATAGACATACACATACATATAGATGAAAATAAAAATAAATCTTTTCTTTTTCTTTTGGTCTTTTTGAGACAGGGTCTCCCTGTAGCCCCAGCTGTCCTGGAACTCACTATGTAGACCAGGCTGGCCTTGAACTCACAGAGATCCACCTGCCTCTGCCTCTGGAGTACTGGGATTAAAGGCATGCACGGCCACGCCTGGCGAAAATAAAAATAAATCTTAAGAATAGAAAAGAAAGCATTTTCATGAAAATACTCCATGACATCACAACAGAGCAATTTGTAAATTCAATTCAGACACAACCCAAATGCTTCTCAAGAATGCTTCAGGTGCGCTGCTACTGGTCTCTGCACACAAGAGGAAGTCATCCAACAAACAGCCAGGATGCAATCACCACACAGGAACTTAGAAACCTATGGTATTCTGATGACTTTAGACCTTTGACTTGTCCCAAAACTTCAGCCAAAACACACAGGGGGTGGCCCACTCTGCTGAGATGGACAGAGTAGGAGGCAAAAATGAGCTACCTCCCAAGAACTGGCTACCAGGGGAGTGTTAGGTACAAGGTCACACAAAAGCATTCCCAAACACAGCTTGTCTCAAAACCATGACCAAATAAAGGATTTCATTTAGAGAGTACAAAAGCTCAAATGATTTCCTTCTGATAGTTTTTGAGGGCTAAGCAGAGGGCTCAGTTGGTAAAGCATCTGCTCTGCAAGCATGAGGACCTGAGTTCAGATCTCAATGCGCCTGTAATTCCAGCACTGAGGTTGGGGAGGGGGACAGAGACCAGGATCTCTGTGGTTTGCTGGCCAACCAGTCTAGTTTAAGTGGAGAGCTCCAGGTTCTTTGAGAGACCCTATCTCCAAAAATAAGGTAGAAAGCAATTGAGGAAGACACTGATGCCAATCTCTGTCCTCCCCACATGAACATACACACACACACCCCAGAGGTGCACAAAAAAGTAAAGTCATTTTTTAATTTACTTTTGTTTTCATTTCTTTGTTTTGGTTTTTTTGGACAGTTCTCTCTGTAGCTGCAGCTGGCTTGGAACTCACTATGTAGACCAGGCAAGCCTTGATCTCACAGAGATCCACCTGCCTCTGCCTCCCAGTGTGGGGATTACAGGTGTGTGCTACCACACCTGACCTAAAAAGTCAGAAATGGAGATATGGACCGCTGTTAGCCACTGTGTGGGTGTTAGGAAGTGAACCCAGGTCCTCTGCAAGAGCAACCAGTGCTCTTGACTGCTAAGCCATCTCTCCCAAAGTAGATTGATTTTAATGCCACAGAAATAAGAGTAAAAAATCTGAACAGAACTACATAGGTTTATCAAGAATCTACGGCAGAACAGCAAAGAGAACAAGAAAGTCTGAACATAAATGCATCACATGCTTTGTTTTAAGTAACTAGCTTGTGTGTATGTGTGTAAGCATCACTTCCAAAAGGGGGAGGAACAACGGTGGACTACTGCAACCACTTGGCTCAGCTTGTCTCTCCAGCATTACCATTCTCTGTTCAATATCTGCAGAGACAATACCAACCTTGACACCAGCCCTCCTTATTTTAACCATTTAGTGTGTGTGTGTGTGTGTGTGTGTGTGTGTGTGTGTGTGTGTGTGCATCAGTACCACAGTATATGTGGAGGACAGAGACCAACTCGTAGAACATTCTCTCCTTCTACCATATGGGTTCTGAAGATTGAATTCAGGTCACCAGACTTGGTGGCAAGAACCCTTTCCTGCTGAGCCATCACACTAGCCTGTTTTCTTTCCTCCTTTTCCCCTCCCCTCTCTCTTCTCTCTCTCTCTCTCTCTCTCTCTCTCTCTCTCTCTCTCTCTCTCTCTCTCTCTCCTCTCTCCTCTCTCCTCTTTCCTCTCTCCTCTCTCTCCTCTCTCTCTCCTTTCTGAGACAGGTCTCATCATGTAGCCCAGGCTGACCTTAAACTCCCAATCCTCCTGCCTCTGCCTCCTGAGTGCTGAGATTATAGGCATGTACCATCACATGCAGTTTTTTCACATTTTCTGAGATATGGTCAGGGTCTCAGGCAGCCCAGGTTGGCTTTGGATTTGCTAAAGAAGCATGTGTTAGCCTTGAACTTCTTTCTGATTCTTCTGTCATAGCCTCTTGAGTACTGTGATTCAGTGACCTTTCCATTCTTTTTTCATTAAGAGAGTGTGTGTGTTATATGTGCATGTGTGTGCATAGGTGTGGTGCCTGTACTTGGGCAGAGGCCAGGAGAGTGTTTTCCTCTATCACTCTCTACTTTATTCCTTCCTGGCAGGGTCTATCCCTCAATCTGGAGCTAGCATTTTTTGGCTAGGCTGGCAGCCAGCAAGTCCTACTGGCCCTCCTGTCTCCTCCCATTTTAGTGCTGGGGCTACAGGTGTGAGTAGGACCACACCTGGCCTGACATGTGGGTGCTAGGATCCAAATTCTGGTCCTCAGGTTTGTGCAGCAAGTGCTCGTACCTGCTGAAACATTTCTCCAATCCCAGACCTTTTCATTCTTTTATCTCAGTTCCAAACATCTTTCCTACAATCTAGTGACTAGTCCCGTGGATCTAGACATAGCTAATAATACCTTACATTCCAACCCCTAAATTCTAACATCTACTTTCCCAGCAGTCTCTTCATTTCAAACTTACTTACATCAACACTCTAACCCTATCCTACCTACAAGGGGCCAACTCACTCTGCCAACCTACAAATGCTATCATTACCCCACCTGTCTCCTGCCCCTTCCCAGCTATCACTAAGCCTTTGCCCTCTCTAAAATGGATTAGCTTAACCAAACCACAGTGCTCCTTAAATTCAGCATACAATAAACATCAGAAGTAGAGAAAACCACCTCTATGATGACTGTTCTCATTTTAAATTTGTGGGGTTCAGCTGGGCATGATGGCACATGCCTTTAATCCCAGCACTCGGGAGGCAGAGGCAGGTGAATCTGAGTTCGAGGCCAGCCTGGTCTACATAGCAAAGTCCAGGCCAGCTGGGGCTACAAAGAGACCCCGTCTCAAAAAGACCAAAAAAAAAAAAAAAAGAAAAATTGTGGGGTTCCTGAGCGCTGCCCACCATCCTCCCACATTTCCCTAGCTGGCCTACTTTCTCAGATGGTTCTCACACCTCCGATTCAAACTACAGCATGTCTTTTCCCTGCTCCCCTATTGAGGAAGGAAGCAGCCTCCTTTCTACTGAGACAACACCAGAAGTGAGGTTCTTTACTTTAACACCTCCAAAGTGTACCCACACCTGCTGTGGCCCCATTTCAAGAGACACTGCCTCTGCTTCTAAGACCCAATCTCCAGCTGTGCTACTGATTCCTGACCTCTAGCTCACCAAGGACTTTGCTCCTACAACTGCCCCCTTCTCTCTTGTACTCTCATTGCCTCCACATACACCTAAACAGGCTAAAATGGCTTTGCATTCTACAAAAATAAAGGACAGTCGGATGTCAAACATCCTGTCATCCCAGCACTGAGGCAAGAGGGTCACACATGAGTTCACACAAAGCCAACCTGAGACACAGAGTAAGTCTCCATCTAAAACAAAAAACAAAAACCCACTAAATTGCTGTCATTCAAGACATCAGGTCCATCTGTTTACTGGGCTAGAAAACATAGTATGTAGTTACACTTTTTCAAATGCAATAACGTGCTGAATTTTTTTAAATCATTAATACTTGAAGTAATAAAATGAGCTTCATTTATTTAAAAAATCCTAAAAGTGTGTGTGGGAGGGGTTCTGAGCTAGGTAGAGCATACACACATGTAGCCCCAGCTACTTGGGAGACTGACGCAGGAGGATCAATTGAGCCCAGGAGTTTGGATCAGCCTGGCCAAGATAATGAGAATCTCAGCACCCCCTCGCCACATCTATTTAAAAAAAACAAAAACAGATCCCAGACGGCTGCCATCCACATCCTTACTGCCACCTCAGGAGACAATGACAAGGTACCAGTTATAACTGGTACCTTCTTGGATTCCCAGTCTCCAGAACTGCAAGAAGTAAATTCCTACTGTTTAAAGCTACCCAGCTTATGGTATTTTGTTACAGCAGCTTGAAGAGACTAAGACAGCCTCCCATAAAGAGTTATACAATTGAGCTCACAGCATCACGCAGTTGCAAGGGCCTATGAGGAAACTCTTATTCACACTGCAGTATCGAGACAGAAGATATAATGGCACATGATACAATTCTAATTAGCTTTAAAGGGTACAATCAGGAGTGAGGGAAAATGAAGGTGAAATACACTTTACCTTTCCAAACCAGCCACTTCCAATCTCTTGTATATAGTTTAGACTGTGGCGGGCAACTTGAGACTTCAAACCTTCTGGAGGGAAAAAAGAAGAATATTAAAAATAAAAATATAAGCACCTAAGAAGGCCCAGGGTGGTGGTGTAGGCCTTTAATCCCAACACTTGAGAGACTGAAGCAGGAGGACTGTGAATTCCAGGATAGCCTGGGCTATACACTGCAATTCTGTCTCAAGAGAACAAGACACACACACACACACACACACACACACACACACACACGCACACACATCTAAAGTAAAATAGAGGCTGGAGACATGGCTCAGTAGTTAAGAGCACTTGCTGCTCTTGCAGAGGACCCAATTTGGCCCCTAGCACCCACACTGGGCAGTCTACAACTGCCTGTAACTCTAGCTCCAAGAGACTGATGCCCTCTTCTGGCCTCCAAGGCACCTGCTCACACTTGGAATACACACACACACACACACACACACACACACACACACACAATAAAATAGTAAATCTTTAAAATTAATATAATAGACATTAAATACATAACCTATACAGTAAAAATACTAATAGAGGGGCTGGAGAGATGGCTCAGCAGTTAAGAGCACTGGATGCTCTTGCAGAAGACCCAGGTTTGAGCCCCAGCACCCACATGACAGCTAGCAACCATTCTTAACTCCAGTTCCAGGGAATCTAATGCCCTCTTCTGACCTCTGCAGGCATTCATGACATGTGTGCATGCATGCACATGCAGGCAATCCACTTATACACATAAAATAAAATCATGAAATATTTAAAAATGCTAATGGAAATGTAATACACTAATAATGGCAGAAGCAAATACATTGAAGCACCTCTTTTAAACTAATGACACAAAAGTCTCCAGTTTAACGGCTGGAGAGATGAGCCTGCTGTTCTTCCACAGGATCTGATTTTGGATCCCAGCACCCATGTCAGGTGGCTTACCACTACCTGTAACTCCAGTGCCACGAGATAACCTCTTCTGGTCTCCCCGGTCACCCCGACACATGGCATACACACAGACACACATACATACATATAAAAAAAATAAAATTTAAAAAGTCTCCAGTTTAAATGCTGACAATATTTTTTTGAATGTATATTCTACCTACTACTGTAATATGTTATATTGTTTTGCTGTTTTTGTTGTTGTTTTGTTTTTCCATTTCTGGTCTGTTGTAGGAACACTATCAAGTGGAGAAAAAGGAGAAAAAGTAAAATATATATGAAGATACCATGGTAGAAAATTCCTCAATCCTGCTAATGGACATGGGTCTACATATTCAAAATGTTCATCAAATTCCAAGTAGCATCAGACTCAAAGAGGTCCATACCAAGACATCAACAATCAAACTGCAGAAGAGCAGAGGATCTTTTGAGGAAAAAGACAGAAATGACTCATCGTGAACAGAGGATCCTAAATAAGACCCACAGCCAATTACTCATCAGAAACACCAGTGGCCAGAAGGCAGTGGGCTCACAAGATAAAGTGCAGATCTGGCAAAACCATATTCCAAAAGTGAAGACCTTTCAGATAAGCAAATGTTGGCATTTGTTGCCAATATGCCTGCTCTCCAATAAATGAAGGGAGCCCTTCAGTATGAGATGAAGGGCCAATAAACAGCAACTCGGGCCCACAAGAAGAAAGGCAGGTCTAGGCCAGGTGTGGTGGTACATACATTTAATCCCAGCACTTGGGAGACAGAGGCAGGTGGATCTTTGTGAGACTGAAGCCAGGGAAACCCTGTCTCAAAAAGACAAACAAAAAAAACAATAAATGAAGGTCTTCAATAAACAAAACTAAACAGATTTTAAAAAAAAATCAATGTCACCGTGTTACTGGAATACAGTTCTTTTTACCTTATGTGATTTAAAATATGATTGTCTGCCGGGAGTGGTGACGCATGCCTTTAATCCCAGCACTCGGGAGGCAGAGGCAGGCAGATCTCTGTGAGTTCAAGGCCAACCTGGTCTACACAGTGAGTTCCAGGGCAGGTGGGACTACAGGGAAACCCTGTATCAAAAAGACAAAATAAATAAATAAAAATAAATAAATAAATAAACTATGAATGCTTTTAAGAGCCTTATAAAGCTATGCCAATAGACACAAAATGTATAAAGATGTCATTTGTGAAAAATTTTATTCTATTTTTATTTTTTGAGACAGGGTCTCCAACTCTGCAGCCAAGGATGACCTTGAACTTCTCATCTTCTGTCTCCAGTTCTGGAGTGCTGGGCTTCCAGGCATGTATCACCACGCAGAGCTGGACTCAAGCCCAGGCTCTCATGCATGCTAAACAAGCATTCTACCAACTGAGCTACAGCCCCAGACCAATTTGTGACAATCTTAAGTTATACATGGAAGTTGGTATCAATTCAAATTGTTAGAAACTTAAGATGTTAATTATAAGCTTTATTGCAAGAACCAAGAAATATCTAAAATGAAAAAAGTCAAAAACAAAAGAAAAAAATTGAAATGACAAAGACTTAAAAACAAGCCAAACAAATGTGGTGCAGTGATTTTTCTTTAAAATGGATTCGATCTTGTGACTTCCACACGCATGCCACGACATAAGGATGCCCCACCTATACACATACACAAAATGAATAGACAAACAAACAAATAAATAAATGTACACTAAAATGTCAAGAAAATTCAATTGAGGGAAATAACAGTGTCATCAGATATCACTCTTGGGACAGCTAGATATTCATGGTAAAAAATTATGCTCTAGCCGGGCATGGTGGCGCACTCCTTTAATCCCAGCACTTGGGAGGCAGAGGCTGGCGGATCTCTGTGAGTTCAAGGCCAGCCTGGTCTACACAGTGAGTTCCAGGCCAGGTGGGACTACAGGGAGACCCTGTCTCAAAAAGACGAAAAAAAAAAAGCTCTAAAATCTTATCCTTGGGTTGGGTTGGTAATGCAGTTCAGTTGGTACAAGTGTGCTCGCTTAGCACGGCACAGAGTCCTGGGTTCCAACCCCAGCACAGCATAAAATCAAGCAGAGTGGCACACATCTGTAATCCTAGTACTTGAGAGGTAAAAGCAGGAGAATCAAGAGTTCAAGGTCATCCTTGGCTATATACAGAGTCTGAAGAGACTGGGCTACAGGAGCCTTTCCACACACAAACAGAAACACCTTATCATAGGCCATGTCAAAATTTACTGAAAATGATCAGAGGGGCCAGAAAGATGTCTTAATGGGTAAAAGCACCTGAGGCAAAGCCTGATGACCTGAATTTCATGCCCAAAACCTACACAGTACAGAGAACTGACTCCCGCAAGTTGTGTTTTGACCTCCACATGCATACTAGGGCACACACACACACCCCAGATCAAGGGGGTGGGCGTGATGGTGCCAATGCTAGGGAAGCAGTGCCAGGTGGAAGGCACCCAACATCTATAGGTGTGCACATCTGTACACACACACACACACACACACACACACACACACACACACATACAAAGATGCGCACACATGAGTGCTGGTGTCTACAAAGGCCAGAAGCATTGGATTACCTGGAGCTGGAGTTACAGGTGATTGTGAGCCACCTCGCATGGGTGCTGGGAATGGAACTTTGGTCCTCTGCAAGAACAGTAAATGTTCTTAACTGCTGAGCTGTCTCTTCAGCTGCCCCAAAAGCTTTTTGTAATAGCTAAAGGCTAAAAACACCACAAATATCTACCACCCAGACTCTCTTGGTTAGATAAATTGTTCTAATACAAATGCAAATGCTATGAACCTATAAGCAAGAATAAATAAATTCTTTTTATTGATAAGGAAAGATCTTTAGGATAGATTGGTATGATCTGGAATCACCTAGGGGACACACCTCTAAGCATGCCTTTGACAGCTTTCCAGAGAGGTTTAAATGAAAAGAGAAGACCTGCCGAGTCCTTGAATGAATCAAATTGAGAAATCAAGTGAAGACCAGTATTCATCTCTCTCTTTGCTTTCTGACTGCAGACAGAACATACCCAGCTGTGCCATACTTCTGCCACTGTGCCATCCCCAACACAAAGGACTGTGACTCAAACTGTGAGCGAAAATAAACCCTTCTTTTCTTAAGTTGCTTCTGTCAAGTATTTTGTCACAGAAATCAGAAAAGTAATCCGATTGGTAATATATTATTATTATTTTTTTGTCTTTTTGAGACAGGGTCTCTGTATAGTCCCAGCTGGCCTGGAACTCGCTATGTAGACCAGGCTGGCTTTGAACTCACAAAGATCTGCCTACCTCTGCCTCCCAAGTGCTGGGACTAAAGGTATATGCTACCACTCCTGGCCTGATTGGTAAATTTTTAAACAGCACAATGTGGGGTGGGGGAGATAGCTCAATAAGAGCACTTATTGCACAAGCAGATCCCAAGGCCAGGCATGGCCCCATGTGCCCAGCAGTGTGGCGACAAAGGCAGGGGAATGGCTGGGGCTGCTGGCTGCTAGCCTAGCTCCAGTTTCAGTGAGAGACCCCGTCTCAAGGGAATAAGGCTGAGCGTGATAGAGGGGGACACTGAACACCCTCCTCTGGCCTCTGCACTTACATGGATATATACATTTGCACACACCACATCAACATCCATCACATATATACTATATACACAGACACACAGACTATACACACACATATATACAATATACACACTACACACACAGACACACACACATATACAACATACACACTATACACAGACACACTATGCACACTCAGACACGCATATACAACATATACATACACCACACACTGACACACACACTCCACACACTCATATACACACATGCAATACACAGATACACATGCATTTATTAGAGACACAGACACACACACAGAGTTCCAAACTGCATATTTACCATGACAACCAAGCAGGGGACTATGTAAGTAAGCAAGAGGGCTACGCTGGAAACCACTGTACCTTTTCAATTTGCTGGGAACCTAAAACTGGTCTATCAAAACAAAGAAATGTAAAATCAACAAATTGTAAGATGGGAGTGGTGGTGGTATTTGCACTAAGAAATTCTGGAAAAGTTAGGGTAGTGGCATACTCCTAT